CCTCTTCTCATCCCTGTTCTCTTCAAATGCTGAGACCCTGCAGGACATTTTGCTCCCTGCTAGCCTCTACAGCCCATTTCACTGCTAACTGAAGGCAAAGAAAGACTTCAGTTCACTTCCACAGGCTGCAGAGGATTTCCTGGGCCAGGACCAGAACTAGCTATTAAATAACACCCTCTAAGCAGAATTTCTGATAACCACTTAGAGCAGGACAGCCACATTCCACAAGATGTTCTCCTCACATTGAGCCCACCTCTCCTTTTATCCCCTCTTCCCACACGAGCACTTTGCGGGAAGCTACAGAGCTCAGCTGAAGGGGAAAGCTAAGCCTACTTCAGACAAAATAGCATTTAAAGGGCCAATGCTGCTGTAAAGGCCAGAAATAAAAGCCTACCCAAGAGCTGGGATGTGCAAGGCAGCTCTATTCAGCAGCTCACTCGGATATCCGGAAGCTGCACACAGATGTAATTTATTTCCCTCTGAATCCCAAAAGCTCAGATGGCTCTAAGAGCACAAAATGCTCCAGGCCCATTTGACTTTTCCTCCCTCTTTCTCTCCTGCTGGAATAACAAATGCAAAAGCTCATTCAAGTGAAAAGGCTGAATGCAGCAAACTTTCATCTGCTGCTCCAAAGAGTGGAACTTCTCTTTGTGGTGGCACAGACCAAGCACCAGTTCCAAGCACAGCACTGCTGGGGCTATGAACAGTTATTTTCTCCTAGATTCCTTCATATTTTGGAGCTGAGAAGAAATCAGAGCTGGGAAGATCATAGTAAGGGCACTGCAAACTCCTGGCTGGGACAACTTAAAGCCCAATTGGTTTGGATTAGGAAATTATGTCTCAAATGTGGCTTATGAAACAAAAAGGTGATGAGAAGCCAAAGCTCTGCTGTCTCCTGCCAAGGCTGGTGAAGCTGAGCAGTGAAGTGGGTGAGACCTGTTGACCTTCAGGTTTTGGAAGCAGTCCTGACCACCCTGGACTCCCAGCTATCCCATCCCTGGATCTCCAGAGGAACTCTGCAGCTTGCTTGATGCTGCTGCTCAGCTTTGCAAACATACACACTGATGTGTCTCTGACAGATGTGCCTAGACCTCTGTGCCTGTGATTTGAGTTTTCTGCCTCGGCTATGAGCAGGTTTGTCAGAGGTTTCCTTTCCACTCTGTCACATGTGACTCCCATTCCTTGCTGACCTGCCCATGCATCCAAACCTGCTTTGTGCCCTTTCCAAACGGGAATGGTAATCTCCTGCAGATAAGTGCTGGCAAGCAAGTAAGAACACTCTGCACAGCATTGTTTTGCCTTCTATTTTTCAGCAGAAACCCCTTTTTTCTCCTTGCTCAACACCACCAGAGATGCCCTGTGGCAAGAAGGCTCTCACCCTCCTTCCACTCCTCCAGCAGTCCCACGAGCTGTGTGTGCTCCCTTCTGCCCCAGCTGCCAGTCAGCTGGATGCTGCCACAGAACAAACCCCTCACACAGCTTGGAAAAGAGAGATTTTAGTCTGGGAGTAAGGAAAAGGGATTCCACCAAGCGTGGAACACTCCCAAGGAAGGGTTTTGTGCCTGCCAGTGAGGCTGTGGGGCAGCAGACATGCTGGTGGGGGCTGATCCCTTCTTCCACAGCTGCAGCCTTACCACTCTCCACCTGCATGTCAGGAATAAGCCAATTTTCCACAATGGATTAAGTGCCTGGTGTGACAAATGTACTTAAAGCCAGGCAGGGAGACTACTGTGCGACCTGCAAGGGAGTGTTTAATATGCTGAGTGAGTGCCTGCTGGTGTGGGGGTGATGCAGATGATGCCAGCAGGGCTGGCTGTGTCCCCCTGTGTGTACAAGGACACCCACATGGCTCAATGGTCCCTCTGCTCTCTGTCCTGCGTTTCCAGAGGCTGAATCCTGTGGTTATGGCATTGTGCAGCCATGCACAGCCCTTAGTGTCTCAGGAGCAATGTTGACAGTGTTTTAAAGAGGATGAAGGAAAAGTTTCCCTTTGTGTCATATAAACTCTGCTGCCACCAAATCTTAAATACCTTTCACTGTACCTCCCCAAAGAACATCCTCTGCAACAGAGAGACATTTTGTCACTGTTCAAGGCTCCTGACACAACCTTTCCCCTCTCCAGTCAGCGTTGGCTTTCCTGCAGTGACTGCTCAGGCACTGGAGGACCAGCAGAGCTAAGCTGGGGTGAGCTGGAGGGGCCCTACACATGGGTGGGAGCAGTGTCTGAGTGCTGGAGCTGCTGCACTTCCTTACCCTCAGATGTCTGGAGGACCAGGGTCTTGCTGTAGGGGCTGACTCCTGACTTGTTGAAGGCTTTGACACGGGCGCTGTAGGTGCTGTTGAAGTGAAGTCCATCCACTGTGCACATGGTCTCCTTGCCCACATACACCTCCTGCAAAGCAACCACAGTTAGTGCCTGGTGAGTCCCAGGGGTGGGAACAGCTCCCCACGGTTGGGATGCATGGGATTCAGCCATGCTTTGCTACCTAGCTCAGACTTATGAGCACTAGATGGCTAACGCAGAACAAAATGACCGTGTGCTTCACTCCTTGACACTACTTTGGGCTCATCCCCACAGTGTGGGCAGCAAGTGAGGGAGGGATTCTGCCCCTCTGCTCTGCTCAGGTGAGACCTCACCTGCAGTGCTGCCTCAGCTCTGAGGCACCAACATCAGAAGGATGTGGAACTGCTGGAGCAAGTCCAGAGGAGGTCATGGAGATGCTCCAAGGGCTGGAGCACCTCTGCTCTGAACCTAGGCTGGGAGAGCTGAGGGTGTTCAGCTTGGAGAAGAGAAGCTCCAGGGAAACCTCAGAGCCCCTTCCAGTGCCTCAAGGAGCTCCAGCAGAGCTGCAGAGGGACTTGGGACAAGGGATGGAGGGACAGGACACAGGGAATGACTTCCCACTGCCAGAGGGCAGGGAGAGGATGTGGAACTGCTGGAGCAAGTCCAGAGGAGGTCATGGAGATGCTCCAAGGGCTGGAGCACCTCTGCTCTGAACCTAGGCTGGGAGAGCTGAGGGTGTTCAGCCTGGAGAAGAGCAGACTCCAGGGAGACCTCAGAGCTTCTTCCAGTGCCTACAGGGGCTCCAAGAGAGAGGGACTTGGGACAAGAGCCTGGAGTGACAGGACAAGGGGGAATGGCTTCCCACTGCCAGACGGCAGGGCTAGATGGGATATTGGGAAGGAATATTATCAGAGGCAAGCACTGAGCCTTGGTCTCCCCACACCAGCCTCCTTCCTTCTCCAGTTCCCACCCATGTCACCTTTCTTACACCTCAATTCTGCTCTGGCTCCTGCCTGCCTGGGTTTCTTGTGGCTGAATTCAGAATGCAATGGGCTGGTCCCTGCTCCTGGTGGATGTGAGCGCACCAAGGCAATTATCAGTGTGTTGGATCAGGGAAAAATAATATTTTAATTGTGTAATTACAGCAATTGAAAAGCCCTCAGGCCTCAAATACCTCTGCTAGCTGGCAGCTGGCAAACCATGAGGCTTTCATGGCAATTAGCACACCTTGCATGAAATATTTAGCAGCCTAAAAAGATGGAGATTCACAGAATCATAGAATGATTTGGGTTGGAAGGGCCTTAAAGCTCATCTTGTTCCAACTCCCTGCCATGGGCAGGGACACTTTCCACTAGCTCAAATTGCTCCAAGCCCCATCCAACCTGGCCTGGAACACTTCCAGGGATCAAACCACAACTTTCCTAAGACACTGGACAGGTTGCCCAGGGAGACTGTGGCTGCCAAATCCCTGGAAGTTCAGGGCCAGGTTGGATGGGGCTCTGAGCAACCTAGTCTAGTGGAAGGTGCCCCTGCCCATGGCAGGGAGGTTGGAACTAGAAGGTCTTTAACATCCCTTCCAAACCCAAAAAATTCTATGATTCTGTGTTGAGCATAGATATATTGGACATTAAAAAAAAGGAAGAAGATTTTAGACTCAGTAGAAGACTGAAATTTCTACCCTTAATAAAAAACCTGAAATTTTCTGTGTATTTCCAAGTGTAACAGAAGTGGAATGGGAGATGAGCCTCTTCAGATAGATGTTGGCTGCAAGGAAGATGACTATGTGGAAACACCTTGGCAAATGATCATGCAACAGGCAAAACAACATTGGGCCACAAAACCACATGCTGCAGCTCAGAAATAGCTTAAAATAAATTGCGTCTGCAGCACAACAAATTACCTGCACTGGACTCGCTCCAACAGGTTCAAATCCTTCCTGTGCCAAGGATCTCAGAGCTGGACACAATATTCCAGCATGGTACTGCTGCTGACTAAGTTGCTCCAAATTCCATTCAACCTGGCTTTCAAGACTTCCAGGGGTGGGGCAGCCACAGCTTCTCTGGACAACAAGAGCTTCAAATGTGTTCTTTGCATTTGCAAGACACATTGGCCACTGGAAAGGTATTTTCAACCCCTCAAATAACCCTCAAGCCCCCAAAACCCACAGCTTGTCTGCACCATCAGCTTCCATGGTCACCCCAGCAGTGAGCCTCATGTTCCCAGGGAAGCGCAAAAAGTCTTTGTTGAGCTCTTTGGTCACTTCATGGCAGGGAAATAGTGGATGCAAGAGCATCACCTTCCCCCTGGGACTGGCACCATGCTCCCAATGCCCCCAGCACCTACCCTGAACGGGCCGCCATTGCCGTCATCGAGCTCCAGGATGTATCCTTCCACCTGCACTGTGGACAGGGGGGGCTGCTTCCAGGACAAGGTGGCACTGTTGTTGTGGGTGCAGCACTCCTCCAGCTGCAGGATCGGGGGGGCCGGCACTGGGGAGGAAACTAACCACAAATCAGTGTGACCCTGGCTGCTGGCACCACGGGGGAGCAGAGAGGGGGGGGAGGAGGCAGTCACTGCCTGGGTGTGAAGCCAGCGTGGCACAAGCCATGGAACTGTGGTGGCACAGGTGGTCTTGTGTGGTTACTCAAGTGGTCTCCCTCTCTGGAGATCTCTCTTGAGCTGGGAGGAAGCACAAAGGATTGCTCTCCCACCAAGCTCCAAATTCCTCCACCCTTCACCCAGGTGCAGCTGAGGTTTCCCCAGAGCTTTTCTGCTTTATTCCTATTTTCTAATGGATTTTGGTGAAATGTGGCAGCACAACAATAGAATCATGGAATCACCAAGGTTGGAGGAGACCTCTAAGATCAAGTGCAACCATTAACCTGCCATTGTTGTAACCCCTAAACCCTAAACCATATCCTCCAGTGCCCGATCCAGATGCCTCTTAGACACCTCCAGGGTTGGAGACTCCACCAGCTCCCTGGGCAATATTCCAGTGCCTGAATACCTGGTGGTGTACACCTGGTTTAGAGCTGCCTGGACCTTTCATGCAGCCATTCCTAAAGCTGGGACATTCTCCCACAAGCTCTACAGAGCCCTGGGCTTGGCCTTATTTACAACCCAGCAGAAAGTGCTGCTCTGCTTTTCCATCCAATAAATTCACTGCAACAAATACCACCCATGGCTCCTATCAGCTACACAGGGGACAGAAAGGACTGCCAGGGCTTTTTCTGCTGTATTTGGGCATCTACACTTGTGTCACACAGCTCAATCCTGCTTTGAAAAGCATGGAAAGGCAACAGCATGACAGGTGAAGGCAAATGTCCACTGACACATCTCCTCCCAACAGAGCTGCTTGTCCACCATCCTCAGCCTCACTGCCCAAAGTGACAAGAGCCAGTGAAAAAAAACATGGAGAATCCAGACATGTGGAGGAGCCACAGATTCCTGGGAGGGAAAAGATGAACTTGCTGGCAAAGGCTCAGCATTCACCCTCTTTTCCTCCTCACCTGGATCCTCAGGAACCACCAGGCTGGCAATGGGTGTGGGATGCTCTGTACCTATTGCTCTCCCGCCCTTAACTGAGACCTAAGCTATCCCCCAGTGGTCCAACACAGGTTTGGGATCCTAGCCCAACCTTCTGCAAGTCTACAAACCCAACAGCTTCATTTCCACAGTGAGGGTGAGCTGAGAGGAGGAGCAGCAGGGATGACGAGAGGAGAGTGGGCGGCTAAACCAGCAGCAGATTTGCTCTTATTAATTAAAAATAACCCTCTGGGCTAAATTGCAGGGAGGGAGAACAGCAACACACTAATATCTTCATGACTGTTGTGTATTTGCTAACAAGGAATATTCCTGACACTTTAAATTAACAGTGTGGCTAAGGATTAGCAACCAGGAGCAGCCATGCCCCTTCCTCACTGCTGCAAACACCAGCAGGGCCATGACCTGAAGATGCTTATCGTGACAGAGGAAGCATGTGGCCAAAAGCTGTGCTGTGCCTGACCACTCAGACACACTGGTGTGTGCCTCCTGAGCCAGGAATTCCAGCTGTGATGGGAATGAAGAGCCATGCCAGACCCGCAGCTGGTGGCTCTTCCTCCAGGCAGCTTGTTTGCAGCAGCTGAATGTACAGGCCCAGGTTCGATGTCCTCCTGAGCTTCCCTGTGTCACAGCCCATTTGCATCTTCTGTCAGCTTCCCTGGGCTTGCCAAGTCCCAAACTGCTGACAATTTGGGCAGCAGCAACTCTCTGTGAAGCGATGCAAACACGGCGGTGGCTCTCGGTGGCACAGGAGTGAGCACAGAGGAAACAGAGAAGGAGGAAACAAAACTGAAATGAAAGTCTAAACCAACAGTGAGGGGAAGGAGGGAAGACCCCAAGCTAAGTGACATGGCTCTTGGTGCCTAGAGAGGCATCTGGCCCATGACAGGTGCTGCTCAGCACTCAGTGTGTGAGCAGAGTTTTGGGAAGAGCTTTGTGCTGCTCCTGAGACCTTGGTCCCAACCTGCACAGCACCTTCTAACGCACTAATAACTTTCTAATGCACTAAGAGTGCTTTTCCAGGCAAAGTCAAGCTCCTGGCACCCTGCTCTGGCACACAGCTGCCCAGGGATCCAAGACAGGGAAGCAAATGGTTGGTCCAGAGGTGCAAAACACACAGGAATGGGCATAACTCTGAGTCTGGAGTGCTCAGTTCTACTGGGAGAAGATGAGAACCTTCTCTCCTGCTCCTTCCCTGTGATGTAAGTGCTCAGCCTGAGCAGATCCAGGCTTTTGAGAGTCACTGGAGATATCCTTACCTTTCATCTGGACAAAGTCGAGCTGATGGATGGACTGCAACAGAGGAGCATTGTCCAGGTTCAGGTCGAAGTCTGTGGTCATCCGGGGGGTGAGTGTGCCCTTGCCCCACTGATCCTCAGTTAGGTGCACTCTCCTGATCAGAGCATCGGAGATCTGGTGGCAAGGAGAAGCCTCAGCTACCAAGAACCACTGGGACGTGCGTTGTGCCTTGTCCCCACCCTGCTCTCCTCCTTCCCTCTGCTTCCTAGGCTGACTGCTGAAGGTTGGAATGTCACACATGGTCTCACTGACCTTCACCTAGCTGGCAGAGGGAACTCAAGAGCTTTGGGGACTATTTGAAAGGCAGGATCTAAGTACCAAAGGGATCAGACCAGGGATGAATGGTGGGATGCAGTTCTTAAGGGCTGCGTGTTGGTCTCTCAGTGGAGAGCCCTAAGACAGCGTGTTCTCCCTGCTTCAGAGACACCACCCAGTGACTGCTGCAACCCTCTGTTCCTCCAGGCAGAGCAAGAAATAGCCCTGCCCTGTTCTGCTTCAATCCTGCTATAGTCATAGAATCATCAAGGCTGGAAGAGACCTCTAAGATCATCAATCCAACCATTAATCTGTGACTGCTGGAACCCCTAAACCCTAAACCATATCTTCCAGTGCCTGGTCCAGACACCTCTTAAACACTCCTAGGGATGATGACTCCACCACTTCCCTGACCAATATGGAGGTGATGAGAGGTTGACTCTTGATTTTACAGCTGGAAAAGCTGGGGACATCCTCCTTGACGTAACCCCCAACTTTGCTGCATTACCCCTGGCTGTGCGAGGCCTTTCCCACTCCCCTCACAGTCCACACAGGAGTAGCTCCACACTAACCTGCAGGAAACCACTGGGGTCGTTCTCCTTGATGACCTCCAGGCAATATTCCATCAGGCCTGTGGTCTGGCGCAGCTTGACTGTGCAGTGAGAGATCTGGTCTCGCACCACCTGCAGCGGAACAAGGAGAGAAGAGTGGTTTGAGGCTGTGGAGGTTTGGGAGATGGGGATCCAACAGGCTTCAGGGCTGTGTGGGCACAGGGACAGTGTCAGGGCAATGTGAATGGAGAGGCACTCATTAGAACAGAAGGCAGCAGAACTGGCCAAGACTCATACACCGAACTCCAGAGCTTTGAAAACCTGGCGAATGACATACAATCCTAGAATCATTTGGGTTGGAAGGGACCTTAAAGGTCATCTAGTCCCATCCCCTGCCATGGGCAGGCACCCCTTCCACTAGCTCAGGTTGCTCCAAGCCTCATCCAACCTGTCCTGGAACACTTCCAGGGATGAAGAGTCCATAACCTCTCTGGACAACCTGTTCCAACAAGCCTTATTTTGCCTAAAATGATTAACTCATATAAATATTCCAAGCAGTAGGGCAGTTCCATGCCCTGTCCTTAATTAAGCAGCTCCCAAATGACAGCTTATGAGCTCCATGCAAAGAAAATGCCTACTTTCACGGATACACAGCTGCCCTTGGCAGGGAGCTGGGGTGTGGGGTTGGCTCTGGGGCAGCTGCACCCAGCAGCTCTGGGTAAGTACATTGCTGTTTTGGTATTTCCATGAGGAATGAACACACCACCTCCCCCAGCTTCAGTTCTAAGGATGTGTTTGAGATGCTCATCAGCTGAGGCTGCAGAACTGTCTCATTTTCTCCTCTGGCTAGGGATGAGTTCAGAGGGAGAGGAGTGCCAGGGAGAGGAGATAAATAAGTCCTGCTGGCCTTTGGCAGGGCTCCCTATGGCACTCAGTGCTCTGCCCGGGGCTTCCAGGCTGCACAGTAACTCCTTGCACCCTTGGCTGGCTCCCCCAAGGGATCACATTCTAGCATCCCAGCAGAGGAACTCAAGTGTGTGGTTCAGTGGTGCCTGAGGTCTCTGCTGACCTTCCCTGAAGCACAGCAGGGAGGAGAGGGTTCAAGCTTGATACCATGAGGCTGGCTGGTCTTTCATGCTGAACCCTGCAGGTCTGCATTGGTGTCAGCATGACTTCTGCCATAGGAGATTGGCAGAGCAGCTCAAGAAGAGAAATTTTATGCTTAGAGGAATGCGCTCATGGCACATTTTTTATTCCTGGAAGAGCTTTAAAGCTGTGTAAAGTTCTCCAGCAGCACTGAACAAAGCCACACAGCTCTGTGTAGCACAGCTATTCAGGGGGTTACAGACGCTGAAGATGAGCTCTGCATCAGCATCTGCAGCTGCAGTGGGATGGGAAAAGCTGCAATAAGCAGGGAAGAACATTTCTGATGCATAGTGCCTGTGTGCATACTGCTCCACAGGCACAGCAGCTCCTGGATGCACATCCTGGGCTGGGGAGCATCTCCTCCTGAAAGCATCCCTACAGCATCCCTGTCTGAGGGATGGGGAGGTGAAGGGAAGCACGTCAGCCTCCTGTGGTGAATGAAGCTGGGCTTCAGGGGGGAGATGACTGCTGCAGGGCAATCAATCCCATCACGTGTGCTTAATTATAATTTAAACACCTCTAGTTAATCACCTTGCAGGAAGGAAAGAATTGCCAGGCTTGCAGCTTAGAATCACAGAATCACTGAGGGTGGAAAAGCCCTCTAAGATCATCGAATCCAACCAGCACTGCCAAAGCCACCACTAACCATGTCCTCAAGTGCCACATCCACATGGCTTCTAAATCCCTCCAGGGATGTGACTCCACCACTTCCCTGGGCAGCCTGAGCCAATGTCTGACCACACTTTCCATGAAGGAATCTTTCCCTCACATCCAACCTAATCCTCCCCTGGTGTAACTTGAGGCTGTTTCCTCTTGTTCTATCACCTATTACCTGGGAGACCTGGGACAACACATCTGTCTGTGAAATGCCCTTCAACAGTCTTCAAAACAGCTCCAGATCTTTAGGGAGCAGCCACTCTTTGCTGCTTTTAGCAATCCCAGCCTGGCGTTTCCAGGCTGTGGCAGAGGGAGGCTGGAGCAAGCCTGGGTGCTGGGGAGAGTTGTCCTTGTCCTCCCTTGTGCAGGGACACAGGACAAGGCAGCAGAGGGAGCTCCCAGATTGCTCCCCTGGACCAAGACGTGTATGGAGGCTTGTGGAGATGATGGATTGCTCTGACACAGAACTAGTGTGCACCACGACCAGCACACACTGGCTTTGGCCTCAAACACGGTCATTAGAGGGAAGAGTTCATTCAATGCCAGTGTCTAACACTTGAGTGCACTGCAATGGTCTGCAGTGGTGAATTATAGAACCCCAGACTGGTTTGGGTTGGAAGGACCTGAAAGATCATGTAGTTCCACCCCCTGCCATGGGCAGGGACACCTTCCACTAGCCCAGGCTGCTCCAAGCCCCATCCAACCTGGCCT